AGTTCAAACCCCACGACCGACCAAAAAAAAAATGTCAATGTAACCCTGAAGCTGATAACTGTGTACTAGTCCCTACTTAGTGTACCAGAAATCATGCCCTCCCTAAAACTTGAAGAGAGAGCTATCCTAACAGATGTCTAAATTGTAACTTAGAAACGTAAGGATTATAAACAAACAACAACACAAGCAACACTAATCTTCCGAAAGTTCTTGATTCTCAAAAGATATTGAAATGCCAAAAACATTCAGTTTACAAACTGATCAATGACCTCCAAGAGGGTGAAGTCAAATTAGATTTAAAAAAATTCAATAATTTGGATGAGAAACTCAGTAAACAGAGATTCTGAAAATAAAAACAAAATCAAATGGAAACCTTGGAAATGAAAATCAAATTAAAAATTCAATGCAAAGTACCAATAGACCAGACCAGGTAGAAGAAAGCATATCAGACACTGAAGACATGCTAATAAATTGACATTCAGAAGGCAATAAAGAAAAAGAAAGGCCATTATGACCACAAACCCAAGACCTCTGAAACATGATTAAGAGACAAAACCTAGAAATCTGTTGTGTCAAAGAGGGCACTGAGATATAGACTAAAGGCATAGAAAACATATTTAATTAAATTATAGAAGAAATTTCACCAAATTAAGGGGGGAAATGGGCATCCAAGTACATGAGGTATTTAAAAGCTCAACTATGTATGACCAGCAAAGAACCTCTCTCTATACCATAAAATAGTTAAAATGCCAAATGTCCTAACAAAGAAAGACTACTGAAAACTGCAGGAGATAAGGGCCAAGTTACTTACTAAGGCAATCCTATTAGCAGGGCAGCAGACCTCTTACCTTATATCCTAAAAGGTCAGGAGAGCATGGACTGATGCATTTCAAGCTCTGAAACAAATAGCTGCCAACTAAGACACACTATCTTTCTAATCAAATGAGAAATAAAGGCCTTCTATGAACAATTCATGAAACAATTCATGACCACTAAGATAACATTAAAGAAAATACCTAAAGAAATACACCTACAGAAGAAGACGAAAAATAGACACAAGCAGGAGAGCTTGGGAAATCTCACTAAAAGAACTGATGGACAACTAAAAAGTGAGAAAGAACCAAATATTATTAACTTAGGAAACCTCTTAGATAAAGAAAGGAGAAGTTAGTTCATTCCTCTCCATAATTACACTGTGTAAATGGTCTTAACTCTTCAATTAAAAGGTGCCCAATGGCCGGGCGCTGGTGGCTCACGCCTGTAATCCTAGCTACTCAGGAGGCTGAGATCTGAGGATCGCGGTTCAAAGCCAGCCCGGGCAGGAGAGACCATGAGACTCCTATCTCCAATAAACCACCAGAAAACTGGAAGTGGCGCTGTAGCTCAAGTGGTAGAGCGCTCGCCTTGAGCTGAAGAGCTGAGGGACAGCGCCCAGGCCCAGAGTTCAAGCCCCAACCGACAAAAAAAAAAAAAGGTGCCCAATGGCTGAAGGGATTAAAAAAAACAACAAGACCCAGCTGGTACTGTCTACAAGAAACTCAACTCATTGGCAAAGACAAGAAGATATTTATAGTGAAAGAAAGGAACACAGTATTGCAAGCAAATGGCATCTGAAAGCAAGCAGAAGTAGCTAAATTCTTATCAAACAAACTAGAGTTCGAATCAATATTAAGCAGAAGAAACAAAAAAGGTCACTATATATTCATAAAGAGAACAATCCATCAAGAAGATAGGGTGATTGCAAGTATGTGTACAGAATGTTGATGTACTCAAATTCATGAAATAAACACTACTATATATAAAGGGACAGATGAATCCAGATACAAAATAGTGGGTGGCTTTTAATACCTTTTTTTTTTTTTTTTTTTTTTTGCGTCCAGTCGTAGGGCCTAAACTCTGGGCCTGGGCATTGTCCCTCAGCGATTCAGCTCAAGGCTAGCGCTCTACCACTTGAGCCACAGCGCCACTTCTGGCTTTTTTTCTTTTTGCTTATGTGGTGCTGGGGAATTGAACTCAGGGCCTCATGCATGCAAGGCAAGCACTCTACAACTGAGCCACCTTCCTAGCCCCAATACTTATTCTTATTGATTATCATTTACAAAAAAAAAAAATAAACTTCAGCCAGGCGCTCGTGGCTCACGCCTTTAATCCTAGCTACTCAGGAGGCTGAGATCTGAGGATTACGGTTCAAAGCCAGCCCAGGAAGGAAACTCCAAGAGACTCTTTTCTTCAATAAACCACTCAGAAAACTGGAAGTAGCACTGTGGCTCAAGTGGCAGAGCACTAGCCTTGAGCTGAAGAGCTGAGGGACAGTGCGCATGCCCAGAGTTCAAGCCCCCATGACCGACAAAACAAAACAAAAATCAACAAACTTCAGATTTAAACTACACTAGAGATCAAATGGATTTAATAAATACCTATAGCATATCACATCTGACATCTGCAGAGTAGACATTTTTCTCAGAGCCTATGGAACTTTTTCCCACATAGATCACATTTTAGGTCATAAAGCATTAACAAATAACAACAAAAAGGGAAATTATTTCTTGTGGCCTACCAGATCAGAATAGAATTAAAAATCAATAGCAAGAATAACAATACAGGGGCTGGGAAGGTGGCTCAGTGGTAGAGCACTTGCCTTGCATGCCTGAGGCCCTGGGTTCAATTCCTCAGCCCCACATAAGCAAAAAGAAAAAAGCCGGAAGTGGCGCTGTGGCTCAAGTGGTAGAGCACTAGCCTTGAGCTGAAGAGCTGAGGGACAGTGCCCAAGCCCAGAGTTCAGGCCCCACGACCGGACCCCCCCCCCAAAAAAAGAATAACAATACAAACTGCATAAATACATGGAGATTGAACAATAAACTGTTGAATTATTAGTCTGTAACTTAAGAAATTAGGGAGGAAATTTTAAAATTCATACAATCAAATGAAAATAAAAATAGAACTTATCAGAACCTTTGCTATTCAGCAAAGGCAGTTCTAAGAGACATTTATAACTATGAGTACCTATCCAAAAAATCTGAACAAACCCAACCAGCGAGGCAAAAGATCTTTGTAATTAAAAGTATAAAACACTGAGGAAAAAAAACTGGATACTAGGGAACTTACCTAACCTTATAGCTTTCATTATTACCTTCTCCATCTGACACACTTTAATTTCCCTCTTTTGACCAATAACTCTCCCTCCCCTCACACAAACACATATGTACATACTCCCCACCACTTACAGGGTATATACACTGAAAAATTCCAGGATTTCCTCAAGATATTTAACATTTCGCTTCTTCATAAAGCTGAAAAGTCTGATTTAAACATTAGATGAATTCTGGGATGAGACCTATCTTTCCACTTATGGGCCCATCCTTGTGCTATTATCAATGACCAGGAAATTGAATTGGTAGTAATATAGTGGCATATATAGCTGCCTTCCATATGACCAGGAAGTAAAAATAGGCTGGCTATTTGACTGCCTATGAGCTAAAATGAACTATTTATAGTTTTGGAGATAGATGCTAAGGCAGTAAAATAGAGTTTTCTCTATGTAAGACCTCAGTAAGAAGGAACCTTATGAAAGCAAATCATGGGTGGAAATTAGAATCAAGAGGATAAGATTTTTAGATGGGAGATAGAACCAAAAGGAGGAGGCACTGGAAGTTTTCTATAGAGGAGATGGTGTTGTCCTTCCCTACACAGTTTCTGGAGGTTGTCAGGCTCACTGCTGTCCTATACAGCTAGCACCACATAAGAGTGGTTTCTATCCTTCTATCTCTATCCACGCTCTCTCTCAAACTGCTTCCCCTGATCTACCCCACAGTCCAATCCTCTTAATCAGATCCTTCCATTTCTCATGTTGTTGCTCATTTCCCTTCATCATTGTTACTAGCTCTGACCTGCACATTCCATTTTTCTATGGTTTAAATCTGCCTTCCTAGGATGCAGCAGTACTAATATATTGTGGCCACTTTTCAGGTCTCTATCTGAAAACTAACCTTTTGTAATTCTGGTTATGGGACTCTTACAAGAAAAAGAGGGCAACAAAGATCAGAAAAAGTGGTAAGTGTAAAATATAGGAGAGAAAAACAATCAGAAGGAAAATACTACTTGAAATTGTCATAGAAATATAGGTAACTTTTGGAAACCTATATTACAAAATAAGGGGGGAAAAGCCATGGTGGTAATAAAAAGCTACTTCCTAGAGATATTATTCTTTTTAAATGTCTGAATTCACTGATCCTTCTGCTTTGGTGATCCTGACCTTCCAACCTTCCTTGCAAGGCACACTCCTACTCGCCCTTCAATACCTTGTTTAAATGTGTTATCTGGATAGCCTGCACTGTTCTTCTAGACAATGAACTGTTCCCTCTTCTGTGTTTCCAAATCTCTTTATAATATATATATATATATATATGCATACACACACACATATATATCCATTAGGCTGTTACCACTTACACCAACAATTTCACAATTTCATCTCTCCCACGACTTCCTTGAAGACAAGGACTAATTTTCTCTTATTCATTTTATGCGTCCTCAAGACATAGCATCTGGCATACCCCAAGAGGTTGCTGTTGCCATGATAAAACGACGTGGAAGCATAATCTGCACTTCATTTGCAAAAAAAAAAAAATCCCATTTGGTTCTTGACACTTTTCATGTCCTCTTGATTTTGAAGAAATAGCTTTAGACCTAAGAAGGAAAGCCTATGGCTCAGACTGGAACACGTTGGTTTCTCATTCCCACTGGTGATAGAAACCTTTTCCCTACACACTAAACCTCCCAGGGCAAGCTTAATATTAATGGCTCATCTCCTATCCTAACCATTGTTAGCGAAAGGCTAAATTACATTGCGAGTCTAAAGCCGGCCCTAGTTTTAGCGAAGTGGGGGAGGAGGAGGAGGGTACTAATTAAAAGCGAACTCTTGGGTAGCAGACCTGGGAGGGGACATGGCGGAGGAAGATGGATTTAAATCTTGCCGTGTAAGAAATCTGTTAGAAACTCACGTTAAACAGGCGCCTCCTCTGTACATGACAGATCCGATCCAGGTGTCCAGCAGTGACCTTTTCTCACGGGTGTAAGGTCATCGTCGCCCAGCACACAAAACCAGGGGCCCGTGGCTTCCTTGGCCATCCCTCTCTCTCTCTCAAACCTGGGGGTCTACTTTTCCTTTAGGGGCTCGTCCTTCCAGCACCAACAACCACCGTTTGCTCGGCGGCGTGTCCTCCGCCCCACCCCCTCGCTGCGCCACTCTAGCCTTCGCCCCGCACCCCAACCCCCTCCCCAGGCCGGACTCAGGGTCACAAGTGGCTGCGGCCGGGGCTGTCAGGCCGCGGCTGAGGAGGGGGCGCCGTGCTTAGGCCCCAGGCTCCCCGCGCTCCGCGGGACAGGACAGCGGAGGACACGCAGGCCGCGTCCGGCCCCGGGGCTGAGCGGCGGCGGCGGGGCTCTCCAAGCCCCGGACGAGGGTGGGAGGAGGGGGTGCTCCGCGCCTCCCCCACAGAAAGCAAAGCTGGCGACCGCAGGGTCTTCAGCCGGTCTCCCGCAGCCGCCGGCAAGTCCCGGCTTCAAAGCTCGCCGTCACTCTTCCCAGTGGCTGGGTCTTCGCCCGCCTGCCCGTGCCCACCGCAATGCCCCGGCCTTCGCGCGGCCCGGCCTGACGCCAGCCGCCTCGCCGGGCCGCGCCGTGACAGCTAGGTGTCCAAAGGGGTAAGCCGGCAGAGCGGCGCCGGGTGTGCCCCCCCCCCCCCGCCCCCCGCGCCGCGCGCGCGCCGCCGTCGGCCTGCCGCGAGCCGGCCCCAGCGCGCACGCGCCCGCCCGTCCGCCCGCCGTTACCTGCGGTCGTTTCCGCGCTGCTCCTCCTCCACCTGGCCGCTTTCTCCCGAGGGCCGCCCCTCAGCCCGCCCCCTCGGCTCCGCGCCGCACACCCTGCCGGCTACTCGGACGCGGCCCGGGGAGGAGGGGCGTGGGGGCGATTACCATATATTAGCATAGCGGGGGCGCGTCACGTGTCTGCTTCAGCCAATGGTCATTCTTGGAAGGCGGGGGTTGAGATGAACACGCCCCCATACTGCTCCGGGTCTGAACCTGTAGCCATGGCAACGTCTAGACGGGCGGGGTACGGGGTGAGGGGAGGCACTGAAGCCCATTGGCTCCCCCAGGAGCATCTCCCCTACCTGAGCTTCGTGTGGTGACACCAGAGGGGCTGAATTTGACTCAGCCTGGAAGATTCAGATTCAGCACACACACACTCATCAAGCACAACAAAATTATGTTCCTAACACTTTCAATAGACTATGATTCTTGAGGGAACCCTATGACATCTGTAACTAATAGCATCACTTGATAGTGGGAAAAGTGGTGGCTCAGATTAGACCATTTCCTCAAAGTCACACAACAGCACAGAAGGGAAAAAGTGAAGATTTAAGCCCATTTCTGGACTTCAGCCCTAGAGTCTCTTGAATTATTTTCTCCAGCAGGGGTCCTCCAACACCTTCTCACAATCCCAGGTATAACAGCAGTTGAGACAATCCTAACACATAATCTGCCATGCTTTTCTTTTACTTACAATGACTTTTGAAGTTAGCCTCCAGAACACTATGTACTCTCATTACCGATGAGAAGAAATGAGGCTCAGAGAGGGATGTGACCTGCCTTAGATCAAGAAGTTACAAAGAGCTAAGTGTTTAATTACTGTAATTTATATTTACTAATAGTACCTCTTTACTTCCGAAGTGTTTAAATTCAATGTTCTGAACATACTGGAATTTGCTCTGACCATTTTACAAATCGAGACACTGAGGCTTTGGCAAATTACACACCAATAAGTAAACAGATTTAGGGTTCAAATTCAGGTCTTCCTGGCTCCAAGGTTAATATAGAGTTTCACTGCCCAGGTTCATTTAGTTTAGAATTGGGCATTAGAACCTTTTGTCTAGTAGAACTTTCAAGAAAGTTACCTCTTGATTCTACAGCAAATATATCATAGAACATGACATTTATTGGTTGTAGGGGAAAATATTAAAAGAGAACAGTCAGCTTGGCAGAGGCACTCTAGAATTCCCTTGCCAGATTTGACAGTTTACCTATCAAATCAGAGTAGTTTAAAAAGTGCGAATATCTGCATATACATGTGCTTAGCTCAGTGGTTCTCCCACATATACTACACTACTTCTGAGGCACTTTAAGGGATCATCACAGGTCATTTTGAAAGTAAGTACATTTTATCTTACTAGATGGACTTAAAACCGAATTCCATCCAAATTTAGTGCTTATGAGCACAAATGTAGAGGCAAACTTACATTAAAATCCTGATTTTGCCACTCATTAGATGTTGTGTGTGCCCCAGAGCAAGTTATAGAACCTCTCTGGGCCTCAGTTTCTTCATTTGTAAAACAGGAATATTGTGGGCATTAAATGAATTAAGGCACACATACAAACACAAAAATATTAGGTACAGGACTGAGAGCATAGCCTAAGTGGTAGAGCACCTGCCTAGCAAGATCAAGGCGCTGAGCTCAAACTTCACTACTGCCCCCAACACAAAGCATTTAGAACAGGAGGCCTGGGGCAAGATAAGGCCCCATATTTGTTGGCTGTTGTCATTCTGTTCTTAGAGCTTTCCTCAAAACAGCTCATGTGTATGGGATTTCTCAAGTCTTCCTAGCTGGTGTTGGAACTGTGAAGCTTTCTTCATCCCCTGTCGCACATTAAACAGTCTGTTGTGCTGGTGAAGGCTTGTTAACTTTCCGAATGACATTCTCTCTTCTTGGAACCATAAATAATTCCAGGACTCAAAGGAGCTGGTTTCTTTTGCACATCTCCTAGCACCAAATTACCGGAGTGGCTCCTTGTAGAGGAGGATCTTGACAAACAGTGGACCCATAAGTCAGCCTCTGTGCAACATTTTTATGAGTGTCTTAATGAGGGAGATGAGCTGTCTTCAGGAACTTGTCCCGTCTTTCCTGACTGCAGGAAATGAGCTTTTTGTACTCAAAGACTTCCAAAGCTGAGATGCAAAGAGCTTTCAGGAAGTAGGCCAGGAATGAGAGGCTGTTGACTCAGAGTTTCAGAGCTATACAGGCCCCATCCTGCCATTCACTCCAAAGGGTCAGATTACACATAGTCTTATGACAGCAATAGCACCAACAAGCTGCTTATCATTGGATGTGTTAGTATACCCCTGCCTTTCACAACGGAGATACTCTGATGTCTCCTCACCCCAAGGTATGACAGAATGGAGTAGTAGTTAAAAACATTTATCTTTGGGGCCCAAGAACCAGATGTGAATCCTGATCCCATAACTCAATCCTCTGTGTGACACTAGGGGAGTTCCCTAATCTCTCTATGCCTTAAATTGCATATCTATAAAATTGGACAAATCGTGCCCATCTTAAATGCTCTTGTTAGGATCGAATGAGTTACAAATACAAATTGCTTAGCACTCCCTATAGTACTTAGCAATGCGTTTGATAATTAAAAAAAAAGATAAAGTCCAGTAAATGTACTTTCTACAGAGGTATCTGCCGCAAAAGTGGAATACCTTAGGTCCTGTGGCAGACTTATGCTCCCCTTCAGCGCTCTCTGACTTGGAGATGGACATTATCCATAAAAAGAAGACCAGGTACTTGGGACCCTGTGTGTGAACTTGGCCTAGGTATTTTGCATTTCTGAGCTATAGTTCCATTATTTGTAAAATGAGACTAACTTGTTCTCCTGTTCTCCACCTTTGAGTATTCAAGTGGCTGGGGGAGCCTGAGATGGGCAGAAGTCTTTCAGCTAAGTCAGCTTTCACTTCTACTGAGTTACTTCTAGGACACAACTTTGCTCTTCAATAATGATCTTACTTAACCCTCACGCTAAGTCTAAGAAAGGCCCAGGGAGATAAAGAAGCTTGTCCAAGATCTCAGTGGAAATCAGTGGCAGAGCTAGGATTCCAGTCAGGACTATTGGACTCCCAACTCCATGCTGCTAACCATTATGTCTCCAACTCCAGCATGGCTCTCAGAACTCAAGGAATATTTCTTTAGTATTCTTCCCCCATTCATCTATACACTTTTCCCACCAGTGCCTCGCAAAGTAGGTATTCCATATATATTTATTAAATGACTGAAAACAAGTGACTCTGACATCTTCTTATAATGATGAAATCTCTTTATTTCTTGGCCTATCCCTAGTGGGAAGGATAACAGCTGACAGCCCTCCTCCTCACCTCCTAGCATTCTCCTGCTAAATTATATTGTATTAAGCTTCCTTCCCTTCTCCCTGGGTGAGTCAGACTTTTAGATTTCAGCAACCCACAATAGACACAATGAATCATCCTCAGAGTACAATTGAAGAGATATCAAGGCCACTGGAGCTCTCTAGGGCTCTGCTAATAGGCATCAGTGTAGTGATTTCCAAATAATGGCTTTGGATAAGCACACTCATTTCCTAGTGCTGCCACAAGATGCCACAAGCCAGGTACCTTCAAATAATAGATACATTCTATTACAACCAGAAGTCTGAACATCATGGCTTCTGAAATCTTGGACACACAGAGAGAGAACCTGTCCTATGTGTCTTCTAGCCTCTGGTGATGGCTAGCAATTCCTAACAACCCTTTGTGGGTGCATCACTCTAATCTGCCTTTGTTGTCTCATGGTGTTCTCTTGTGTATTTGTGTCCATATCTCCTTCTCATAAGGACATTAATTATTGGATTAAGGCCCAGATAAACACAATACAACCTCATATTAGCGTGTTGACAAAGACCTTGTTTACAAATAACTTATTTCCACATATGATCACAGTTATAGGTAACTGGGAACTACAAGTTGAATATGTCTCTTTGGGAAATACAATTCAACAGTAATATATTTGGGATAAAGTAGAGAGGAGAGAGGGAAGGAAGGAAGGAAGGAAAGAAAGAAGAAAGGAAGGAAGGAAAGAAGGAAAGGAAGAAGGAAAGAGAAGGTGACAGATGATACTAACAAGATGGAATGGAACTAACCTCTTTCTTCTTGGCTAGTTCAATATTCCCCTCAACAAGTCCCAAGATTACAGACTTACAATACCAGAATTGCGAAGGACTTCAGAGAGCTCTTCATCTACTCCACAAACATTGGATAACACTCTTTGAGGTACTGGGCATTCAGAGAGAAAAGACATGTTCTTTTTTTTTTTTTATTTTTGGGT